AACCCTCGTGACCTTGAATATAAGTCAAGGTCATTCATTTGAACAAACTTGGTAGCCCTTCATCCCAGCATGCTACATGCCCAATATCATCACCTTTTACCTCTAGGTTATTCAGAAGAAGTTGTAAAAGTTTTTTCTGTTTGGACAAACTCGGTAGTCCTTTATTCCAGCATGCTACTGGCCAAAATATCATCACCATCANCCCAGCATGCTTCTGGCAAAATATCATTACCCTGGACCTTTTGGTTTTACAGAACAAATCATTTAAAAACTTAAACATATATTGACCACTGTGACCTTGAATATGAGCGAAGGTCATTCACTTGGTAGTCCTTCATCCCAACATGTTAATGGCCAAATATCATCACCCTAAGCCTCTTGGTTATTCAAAAGAAGTTCTTTTAAAGGGTTTTAACATATTCAACCCTCGTGACCTTGAATATAAGTCAGGGTCATTCATTTGAACAAACTTGGTAGCCCTTCATCCGAGCATGTTACTGGCAAAATATCATCACCTTATACCTCTTGGTTATTCAGAAGAAGTTGTAAAAGGTTTTTTTCGTTTGGACAAACTCGGTAGTCCTTTATTCCAGCACGCTACTGGCCAAAATATAATCACCATCCTAGGCATTTTGGTTATTCAGAAGAAGTTGTATCACAGGTTTTTAACATATTTGACCCCTGTGACCTTGAATATGAGTCAAGATAATTTATTTGAACACATTTGGTAGTCCTTCATTCTAGCATGCAACATACCCAATATCAGTATCTTGGGCCTTTTGGTTAATGAGAAGTTGCTTGAAGATTTTTAACATATTTGACTCCTGTGACATTGAAAGTGGGTCAAGGTCATTCATTTGAACAAACTTGGTAGTCCTTCATCCCAGCGTGCTACAGGCCAAATATCGGTACTCTGGGCCTTTTGGTTACTGAGAAGAAATTGCTTGAAGATTTTACGACATTTGACCCCTGTCACATTTAAAGTAGGTCAAGGTCATTTATTTGAACAAACTTGGTAGCGCTTTATCCCATCATGCTACAGGCCCAATATCAGTTCCCTGTGCCTTTTGGTTATTGAGAAGAAGTCGTTTGAAGATTTTAAGAAATTTGACCATGTGACCTTGAAAGTAGGTCAAGGTCATTCATTTGGACAAACTTGGCAGTCTTTCATCCAAGAATGCTACGGGCCTTATATCAGTACCCTTGGCCTTTTGGTTATTGAGAAGATGTTTGAAGATTTTAAGACATTTGACCCCTGTGACCTTTAAAGTTGGTCAAGGTCATTAGTTTGAACAAACTTGTTAACCCTTTATCCCAGCATGCTACAGGCCAAATATCAGTACCCTGGGCCTTTTGGTTATTGAGAAGGTGTTTGAAAATTTTACATTTGAACCCTGTGACCTTGAAAGTGGGTCAAATCATCTATTTGAACAAACTTGGTAGTCCTTCATCCCAGCATGCTATTGGTTATTGAGAAGAAGTTGTTTGAAGATTTTACTTTGACCCCTGTGACCTTGAAAGTGGGTCAAGGTCATCTATTTGAACAACCTTGGTAGCCCTTCATCCCAGCATGCTACAGGCCAAATATCAGTACCCTGGGCCTTTTGGTTATTGAGAAGGTGTTTGAAAATTTTACATTTGAACCCTGCGACCTTGAAAGTGGGTCAAATCATCTATTTGAACAAACTTGGTAGTCCTTCATCCCAGCATGCTATTGGTTATTGAGAAGAAGTTGTTTGAAGATGTTCACACTTCTGTGACCTGGAAAGTAGGGCAAGGTCATTCATTTGAACAAACTTGATAGCCCTTTATCCCAGCATGCTACAGGCCAAATATCAGTACCCTGTGCCTTTTCGTTATTGACAAGTTGTTTGAAGAATGTACGACATTTGACCCCTGTGACCTTGAAAGTGGGCCAAGGTCATTCATTTGAACAAACTTGATAGCCCTTCATCCCAGCATGCTATTGATTTCTTATTGTAGATTTTAATTGCCAATCCATTTCCAGTGTGTTTGTTTCTCTGTGGGGAAACTTGTCTTTAACCATATATCCATTGTTTAGTCCAAATTTGCTAACCTGTCGCCAAACTGTATGTCTCGTAGGAGATTTCGCCTGAACATTTTGCCAAAATAAAGGTAAATTGTTCAGTTTCACCGACTATGGTGATATGTCTCTCCAGATTTATTCAAAGCAAATAGTTAAATTAACTACTCAATAGATCTTCGCGTACCAGTTGCCAACATTTCTCTCATTTAGTTTTTTTTGTAAACCTATTATTGCCAATATTTCCGTTTCGTTATAGATTTTACCAAAAAGGTGTTCATTTCCTTGTAGATTTCTTTTGTCAACTGTTACCAACCAACTGCCAAAATCTGTCTTGTTGGAAATATTTTCCAACGAAATGCCAGTTAAAGTTTAATTGTAGATTTGTTCAAACCACGATTGGTGTCCTCCTTGTAAGTGTTTGCCAACCATTTACTATGTTGCATGTGTCTTTGCAGATTCTTGCCATCTAATTTAAAGCTATGAATTCTTGTACAATGATTGCTGCGATTCCCATTGTAAATATTGTCTAACAAATACCACTCTTTGATCTTCGTGATGAACTAACAGTAAATGCTTGTCTAAAGGTTACCAGTGTTTTTATCATTGTAGACTTATAATTACTTGATACTTCAAATTACGAATTGTCACATTATAGCATTTGTTTTTTCTCCATTTCTACCATGTCTCCTTTTCGCAATGAACACTTGTACATGATTTGTTTATCATTGTAGATTCTGTCTGCAAATAATACAAGGCATGTTTATCATAGATGGTTTTGCCGACCAATGCTCAATATGTTGTCGCTATTTATTTTCTAACAATCATCAGTTGATAAGAAAAGACACTTTTTCTTTCCAAAATATAAAATTACGCTTCGATTGAATGTTCCTGCTCCTTTGAATCTCCTGCATGCCACTGTGCTCCTCAGTTTTTCAGTGGATTAAAGACAACTCCTCCCAACAAACTAGCTTTTTTACATTTTTAGTTCTCTGTATTGGTTACTGAAAATTTAAACTGAAAAAGTTATTTTATCAGTTAAAAAAAAAGAAGATTTTCTATCTTAAATATTTTTTGTTTGTTTATGACACAAGACCTTTATGCCTCATTATCCTGTTAATTGATGTTAATAAATGTCACCACAACTGAACAGAAGTTTGGAGATTCTCTCCCTCTGTGTATTGTCTCCCCTACAAAATCACAGATTTCATATCACAGTGGAAGACATCTCTGAAAGGTCAGAGACATGGACTCTTTGGCATGAAGGCGAGAACAGCTCCAGTGTGCATTTTTTTACCCAAGAAAACAGCTAAGGTGATTGATTTTCAGAACCCATCTGTGTTTCTTAAAAGATGATGCTGTGCTGTTACAGGATCATCCTTAATTAAGTTAATCAGAACTTTTAAATAAGATATCTAATCATTAATCTCATCATCAATTTATAGCAAAATGACATTTTCAACTCTTTTGGTATTTCAGAAACTTGGAAATGTTTAAGAAAGCTTTGCTTAAAGACCTTTTATCAAATATTTTCTTAATTGTTATAGCTGTTTGACAGATCCACAATTTAAAAAAAATATATCCCAGATTTTTCATATGTAAATTGAGTGTTATGACCATTTAAATCTGTATTAAGGAAATGTTACAAAGTGAAATTTTAACAGGGATGGTCTCTAAGTAGAGTGTTAACATATATATATATAGTTGTTGTGTTGTAGGGATGGGAAAGTACAGGTCCCTGGGGGAGAGGATTGCTCAACAGGAATGGTCTCTAAGTAGAGTGTTAACATATATATATATAGTTGTTGTGTTGTAGGGATGGGAAAGTACAGGTCCCTGGGGGAGAGGATTGCTCAACAGGAATGGTCTCTAAGTAGAGTGTTAACATATATATATATAGTTGTTGTGTTGTAGGGATGGGAAAGTACAGGTCCCTGGGGGAGAGGATTGCTCAACAGGAATGGTCTCTAAGTAGAGTGTTAACATATATATATATAGTTGTTGTGTTGTAGGGATGGGAAAGTACAGGTCCCTGGGGGAGAGGATTGCTCAACAGGAATGGTCTCTAAGTAGAGTGTTAACATATATATATATAGCTGTTGTGTTGTAGGGATGGGAAAGTACAGGTCCCTGGGGGAGAGGATTGCTCAACAGGAATGGTCTCTAGAGCAGATTGGACTGTACCAAATTACATAAGAAAAGCTGAAAACTATTACTATTTATGTGGTTGCAGTGTAAATTTTGAACCAGTTTTGAGACAATAGAGTTTAAAAAAGTGATGAACATATACCAAAATAAGTCAGTTTTGAGAAAAATATCAAACTAATGAAATGAAGGTCTTGCGGGTTTATGTGTCGAGTTTAAATCTTGATTTATCAACAAAGATTCTTGAAGAGTTCAGTTACTTAGGGGAAAACCTCCGTAGAGCTAGTAAAGCAGACATTTGTGACAGTATAATCACGATATCCTGCTGCAAATTTCAAAATACAGTAGGGTTATCCCCATTCTAATTCCTATCAACCAAAACCAACGAAAAAAACAACGATTTAAAGATATTTTTCAGTGTTTTCTTCAAATTCTGGGTCTCTCTGCTGTGGATTACTGACGTCAGAAATATTCAAAGTGAGGTGTAATTACGTTGACCTTTTGGGGTCACCCTATTGTTCGTGACGCCATGCATAATTAATTTCGTGACATGTCAGGGTCAGTCGGGGTCATCAACATCATTAACAATCCCCATCCGGGCTTCATAGGCAAATGAGAAATTTTCTGACGGTATATCACAGTTTTACTGTCGCAAAATATTTTGATTGACCAATCAAATGCCTTGTTACGTCTCAAATGAATAAGAATAAGGGTCTGAATGTGATCAAACAGTGTTTTAGGGCCTGAATGTGTGGAGTCATTTAGGACATTATTGCCTTCAAACATGAAAATGAAACATTAAAACATCAGCAAATTTATTATTAACTTTTTATTGTTGAAAATTTATATGAAATTGTTGAATAAAGTATGACATTTTGTTCCGAGTTGTAGTAATACAAACATGTACAATATCAAGTTGAATTTGATGAAAAACTATCACTATCCCAAAAATTGCACAATACAAAAGAACGCCATCTAGTTGAGGGGATTATTCACCAGGTGTCATATGTAAAGGATCAGATCTATGATCAAGCATTTTATTACAATTTACAAATCTCTTATAACAGAGAAATATTCCACAACATGGGAAGATCATTAAGTGAAGCTCCATAGGGAAGTTTGCTGTGCAGTCACTATTACAAGTGATCAAAGGTTTCCTGGTAACGAGATTTTGTGCTAGAAGGCTTCCACAGAGTGACACAGTAAACATCAATAACACACCGTCTTTTGCAAAAACATTTATGTCTCTCGTGAGATTGTGACTTTGTAGAAAAATGCGAAATAAATGTGCAAAGCAGATTGCCGTATGAAAAAGCATGATTTTTGCAAGACAAATACAATTCATAAAATTTCCAGTTTGATACTTGCACAGACCAAACCCACCATTTAACCATGATGATTCAACTTTCTTCAGTCAAGATCAGTTCAAAAAGACTTTTTAAACTAATGTGCAATCAAGGTTATCAAAGGGCAGATAATACAGTAATATTGCACCTCAACAAGCATCAGAACTATCACATTGTTTCATAGACAAGTTATTTCAATGATCTATGATATCAATATAGGTACCAGTATCAACCAACCCATAGTGGCTTACTTCTGATTGACAGGCTCTCCTTTTACTGCTTACGTGTCACACAGATACCGATTTGTTAATGTCCCATCGAGTTCAAACCTCCAATGTACAATGTTTGGAGTCATAAGAAAAACTCACCAGACAATTTGACAGTGTTATTTTCCCTTCGTATAAAAATTACAAAAGCTAAATACATTGATGATGTTTTACAGTGATGAATCTACTTTTCCTCAGGAATGGTGTCAAAAAGTTCATATTTACCGAACTGTCAATTCCTAAGGAATGGTGTCAAAAAGTTCATATTTACCGAACTGTCAATTCCTAAGGAATGGTGTCAAAAAGTTCATATTTACCGAACTGTCAATTCCTAAGGAATGGTGTCAAAAAGTTCATATTTACCGAACTGTCAATTCCTAAGGAATGGTGTCAAAAAGTTCATATTTACCGAACTGTCAATTCCTAAGGAATGGTGTCAAAAAGTTCATATTTACCGAACTGTCAATTCCTAAGGAATGGTGTCAAAAAGTTCATATTTACCGAACTGTCAATTCCTAAGGAATGGTGTCAAAAAGTTCATATTTACCAAACTGTCAATTCCTAAGGAATGGTTTCAAAAAGTTCATATTTACCGAACTGTCAATTCCTAAGGAATAGTGTCAAAAAGTTCATATTTACCGAACTGTCAATTCCTATGGAATAGTGTCAAAAAATTTGTATTTACCGAACTGTCAATTCCTAAGGAATAGTGTCCTTTTCAACTTTGTAACATTTACCCAACTCTCAGTCCTCAGAAATGATGTCCTAGTTAAACCTATTGCAAACATTTATCAAGCTCTCAAAAAACAATCAAATATTTCCATCTGAGAAATTTACTGACAGTTTTTTTGTATGATAGTTGAAGTCCTACTCTGAAGATGAAATGATGTCCCTTTATACATGAAACACAGAACACATAAAATAATTTCCACACAGTTTTTCCCATTTTGACAGCTGCTTGACAAGAGGTTTTTATCACAAATATTGTCAATAAGAAAAACATCAATAAAAGGGTCCTTGACATTCTGATAGCCCATCAATACATTCAACTTTTGGTACTGTCTGACAGATTCACAAGCTGCAGGTAGATATCAGATTCCAGGAACCTAGGGTAAGAGTCTTTCTCCATTAATGCTTGGATGCGTTTCTGGGCTTCCAAAAAGATTTCGCTAGAGGGTGTGTCAAGGTTGGATATAGCCTGCATTCTGGTTTTGGAATCTAAGTTTACCTGAAAAAAAAAAAAATAAAATAAAATAAAATTTCAATCAAGCCAATCAAATTGTAAAACAGTAACAAGATAAATGAAATTGTATTCTACGTGTGTTTACAAACTGATGTATTTATTATGTTTTTGCACCACACTATTCAATATTTTAATTTGAACAGAAACAATAATGCTCTTGATATTTTTAATATGTTTCTTGGCTTAACTTACCTCTTTAGGAGCCTGGAAAGCGATAAAGTCCGCATAGATTTTCTGTGCTTGTACCATCAGCTTGCTGTCTTTACAAGTTCTAAAGTCTTGGCAAGCAATCCAGAACTCCAAGTTCTCCTCGCTAAATTCTGATCGTAGAAATCCCTTGAATAGCTCTATTCCATCTGTAACCATATCACAAATCCAATTTATCATAAATGAACATTATGTTATAAATGCTATTTAACTGATTCACCCCTGAAGTTTCAAAATGAACTATTCTAACCTTTGAATTGGAAGAGTTCAAACATGTCTTCAGGGGTAAATGAGTTATGCATTGGAATTTTATTAATAGCTTTATTAATAAAAAGACTTTTTAATACATAATGCATTGGAATTTTACTAATAACTTTTATTAATAATAAAATTAAATATTTGCTGTCTGTGAGTAGGGTGATAAGGATATCACTTATAAACAATGTGACATTGTTTTATATTTACGTAATTTATACATGTAGCTATACTGAGTACCAGCAGGGAACATTTTCAAGCTTCTTGATAAAAAATTGTGTGAACTTTTATTTCATTGTTTACCATTCATTCAAGTTAGATAATACCCATGGTGTTAATAGGAGAGGATACTTACATTTGTCGCCTAGCAACGTGTCAAATGAATGGCTCCACTGTGAGGCCTGATCTGACGTTGGTCGGGAGTGTACCGACAACAGGCTACCTACTAAAGCGGTGTCTGTATTTCGGCGTCGTAAAAACTGGAATTTCCTTTTCATATTCTTAGCTCTACAAAGGCAAAAACTATACTTGAACAATTTGCCATACCTGTGTTCAATAAATGAACAGTGTATAAAAAGGAGTATATTTTTAATCAATTTAAACATTGTAAAACCTTTTACCTTCCAAAGCAAAGGCAGAGTTTATCATTGCAAACTAAATTTAACTGTTGAAAATTTTTAAAAAACAAATTTGTTATGCCATTTAAAATTTTAAGCAATCCTTATCAAATAAAGTAAAAAAATACGGCATGATAAATTTAAAAATTAGAAAACAAGAAAAGAAAAAATAATTTTACAAAGATAATAACATTCTTCAGTTAAATAGATTTCATTCATTATTAGGAGACTGGTAAAGTTAGACTTACATGTTCCGAGATTTTGGTCGTGGCTGTGAATTGTTGTTCTGACTGGCGATACCAAAGTCTTCTTTTGCCATCATGGCTGCGTCGGCTGAACAGGTTTTGTGAACTGGCCGACGTGGCAAGTTGGCGTTGGCGCTGTCTGCATCAGCATCGACATCTCCAAACAACTGTCTCTGATACATGGACAGGTCGGCTGCTCGACTTTCAATCTGAACATGACAAAATGAACATACAATATATGTGGAGATGCTACATTGGAGTTACCTATTAAAGGACCTATCATGTGACATGTATCTTCTGCAATTATCATATCATTGATTGCAAATAATTTTGTTATCCCTTACGTTCATTTCAAGACTGTCAATGATTTTACTGCCATTTTAAACTTTATAGTTTTTCACTTATGCATAATCTTGATCAATAAAATCACAATTTTTAATCAAACTATGGGCTCATCAGCGATATAATATTGGAATGCATGGCTTATATATATATATAAACCCTCATTACCATAAATGGACCCTATCAATGTACAAAACCTGCTGGGGAATCTAAATCCAATTTACAGGTATTCTAACCAGATTACCATAGCAACCAGAACCTATCATCTTCGTTAGACCTCTCATTATAGACCAGGTAATTCACTTACCAAAGCAAGTCCAAATTTGTCCATATATTAATAATAATCAGCTTTAGATATTTTCTAGAGCACATAGCGTATAGAAATCAAGTTGTTAGAACGTTTTATTAGATCTGGAGTTGAAATTGTAACAGAGGTATACTATCTAAGTTTCCAAAAGGATACAATTACCATAAAAATGGAAAATACTGTTGTATTTCAAAAACAGAACCCTTCAGTTTTATGCTATATAGCCGTGAACCTAAGAATTTTGTTCCCCCCTGTTCATTACTGTGAACGCAATAATTCTAATGTTACTTGTTCATTTTTGTGAACCTAACAATTCTGTTGTTACTTGTTAATTGCTGTGAACCTAGCGATTCTGTTGTTACTTGTTCACTTCTGTGAACCTAAGTATTTAGTTGTTACTTGTTCATTATCGTGAACCCAACAATTTTGTTATCACCTATTCATTATTGTAAACCTAACTATTTGGTCGTCAACAGTTCATAACTGTGAATCTAAGTATTCTGCTGTTACTGGTAAATTTTAATGTCAACATGTATATTTCAGTATAAAATTCTTTTTAGGATTATCTGAAAAATGCACAAAAGATTGGTTTTAGGATTATATTGTTGATCTGTATTCTGTAGCAGTTCGCTAACTAAGCTACCGATGTTAGGTGTATTTACAAAAGATTTGTTGTAATTTTGACAAATTCCCGAAAGACATGATACTGAAGGAGACGGAAACGTCCCACAGTTCTATTTTCAGCTCAATAATAAATGGAAACGTGATGTACGAAACCTCTATTTCATTAGGCACCAGATATCGTAAACAATTTTCTAGAATAATCCAATCTATTTGGATCGTTTAAGTGGAAGCTCTAATGCTGTCTGTTACTTCGCTCCTTTTCTATCTGGAGGCCAAGACCTTTATTTTTCTCTTTAGGGAATCTATTTTTAGTAGCCTGATGAATAAAAGACAAGTAAACATGATCCAAATATAGGACTGCGTGTCTAATTATAGCCCTACTGGAGCCATATATAGCTCCATAGAATAGCACGAACCACAGAAACAAGTCTGCAAGCTTAATGATTTATTATCGAGGAAGTGTCTCACTCAATCATGCACTGCATGAAACAAGAATTATTCTATATTATACTCAGGAAATGTATAGGAGTTTGCATGATATACCAATCCCATCATTTCATAAAAATACCAAACTACAGAGGATTTCTGCCAATCAGGAGAGTTGAAATATAGGTAAAGATTACTATCTTTATATGGAATAATGGTCCTACTCATTGTTAATCCTGATATCAATATCCTTATATTTCAAATCAGGTTAAAGATTTAGTCTTGTAAGAAGCTTCACATGATTTTTTCTCATTTAATTTGAAAACAACTTCAAATTAAGGGCCTTTAAAGACAGACTTCAGTGATATGTGGAAGTAATCTCCTTTTTATCTTAATTCAGAAATATGGAACTTTATACTACAGTTTCTACACAATGGGTATCTGCCATGTCTAATAAATACTGAATGTTGTTCAAAATATTTTTCAAAAAATACTATCAAATTGTTTTTTTTATTGCTGAACACAGAAACAGTACCTAATTCCAACAAGGTATCTCTCAAACTATAAACAATATCCAATGATTGTAAGGTGTTGTTTAGAGATCCTCCCAGGGTAAAGATTGAGATAAAGTCTAAATAACAAGGTAAATATTGAGATAAAGTCTAAATACCAAGTTTAAGATTGAGATAAATTCTAAATACCTAGGTAAAGATTGAGATAAAGTCTAAATACCAAGGTAAATATTGAGATATAGTCTAAATAACAAGGTAAAGATTGAGATTAAGTCTAAATACCAAGTTTAAGATTGAGATAAAGTCTAAATACCAAGGTAAAGATTGAGATAAAGTCTACATACCAAGGTAAAGATTGAGATAAAGTCTATGTAACAAGGTAAATATTGAGATATAGTCTAAAGAACAAGGTAAAGATTGAGATAATGTCTAAATACCAAGGTAAATATTGAGATATAGTCTAAATACCAAGGTAAAGATTGAGATAAAGTCTAAATACCAAGGTAAAGATTGAGATAAAGTCTAAATACCAAGGTAAAGATTGAGATAAAGTCTAAATACCAAGGTAAAGATTGAGATAAAGTCTAAATACCAAGGTAAAGATTGAGATAAAGTCTAAATACCAAGGTAAAGATTGAGATAAAGTCTAAATACCAAGGTAAAGATTGAGATAAAGTCTAAATACCAAGGTAAAGATTGAGATAAAGTCTAAATACCAAGGTAAAGATTGAGATAAAGTCTAAATACCAAGGTAAAGATTGAGATAAAGTCTAAATACCAAGGTAAAGATTGAGATAAAGTCTAAATACCAAGGTAAAGATTGAGATAAAGTCTAAATACCAAGGTAAAGATTGAGATAAAGTCTAAATAACAAGGTAAAGATTGAGATAAAGTCTAAATACCAAGGTAAAGATTGAGATAAAGTCTAAATACCAAGGTAAGGATTGAGATATAGTCTAAATACCAAGGTAAAGATTGAGATAAAGTCTAAATACCAAGGTAAAGATTGAGATAAAGTCTAAATACCAAGGTAAAGATTGAGATAAAGTCTAAATACCAAGGTAAAGATTGAGATAAAGTCTAAAAACCAAGGTAAAGATTGAGATAAAGTCTAAATACCAAGGTAGGGATTGAGATAAAGTCTAAATACCAAGGTAAAGATTGAGATAAAGTCTAAATACCAAGGTAAATATTGAGATAAAGTCTAAATACCAAGTTTAAGATTGAGATAAAATCTAAAAACCAAGGTAAAGATAAAGTCAAATACCAAGGTAAAGATTGAGATAAAGTCTAAATACCAAGGTAAAGATTGAGAGATTAAGTCTAAATACCCAGGTAAAGATTGAGATAAAGTCTAAATAACAAGGTAAAGATTGAGATAGAGTCTAAATACCAAGGTAAAGATTGAGATAAAGTCTAAATACCAAGGTAAAGATTGAGATTAAGTCTAAATACCAAGGTAAAGATTGAGATAAAGTCTATGTAACAAGGTAAATATTGAGATATAGTCTAAAGAACAAGGTAAAGATTGAGATAATGTCTAAATACCAAGGTAAATATTGAGATATAGTCTAAATAACAAGGTAAAGATTGAGATAAAGTCTAAATACCAAGGTAAAGATTGAGATAAAGTCTACATACCAAGGTAAAGATTGAGATAAAGTCAAATACCAAGGTAAAGATTGTGATAAAGTCAATACCAAGTTTAAGATTGAGAAAAAGTCTAAATACCAAGGTAAAGATTGAGATATAGTCTAAATACCAAGGTAAAGATTGAGATTAAGTCTAAAAACCTAGGTAAAGATTGAGATAAAGTCTAAATACCACGGTAAAGATTGAGATTAAGTCTAAATACCAAGGGAAAGATTGAGATAAAGTCTATGTAACAAGGTAAATATTGAGATATAGTCTAAAGAACAAGGTAAAGGTTGAGATAATGTCTAAATACCAAGGTAAATATTGAGATATAGTCTAAATAACAAGGTATAGATTGAGATAAAGTCTAAATACCAAGATAAAGATTGAGAGATTAAGTCTAAATACCCAGGTAAAGATTGAGATAAAGTCTAAATACCACGGTAAAGATTGAGATTAAGTCTAAATACCAAGGTAAAGATTGAGATATAGTCTAAAAACCAAGGTAAAGATTGAGAGATAAAGTGAAATACCAAGGTAAAGAATGAGATAAAGTCAAATAACAAGGTAAAGATTGAGATAAAGTCTAAATACCACGGTAAAGATTGAGATTAAGTCTAAATACCAAGGTAAAGATTGAGATATAGTCTAAAAACCAAGGTAAAGATTGAGAGATAAAGTCAAATACCAAGGTAAAGATTGTGATAAAGTCAAATACCAAGGTAAAATTTGAGATAAAATCAAATACCAAGGTAAAGGTTGAGATAAAGTCAAATACCAAGGTAAAGATTGTGATAAAGTCAAATACCAAGGTAAAATTTGAGATAAAATCAAATACCAAGGTAAAGGTTGAGATAAAGTCAAATACCAAGGTAAAGATTGAGATAAAGTCTAAATACCAAGGTAAAGATTGAGATAAAGTCTTAATACTAAGATAAAGATTGAGAGTCTAAAATCCAAGGTAAAGATTGAGAGATAGTCTAAATACCCAGGTAAAGATTGAGATAAAGTCTTAATACTAAGATAAAGATTGAGAGTCTAAAATCCAAGGTAAAGATTGAGAGATAGTCTAAATACCCAGGTAAAGATTGAGAGATAGTCTAAATACCAAGGTAAAGATTGAGAAATGAAGCGTAGGAGTATGAGTAGAAATATCATATAAGAGGTGTCACATTAAGCTGAAATTGTGTGTATTTTTAATTTTATCGTCTCACTCAGAAGAACAAGCTATAGAAAACACTCAATTTACTTACGGTGTCTTTTTCAGGAGATGCCTCGTCTGTACGATGTAGGAACAGAGCATGGGCTGGTATATCCTGCTCACACCCAGCACTCTGACTCCGCCGTAAGGGGCGTGTTATCATGCGGCGAAAACGGCGCCTTTTCGATTCCTTTGTTGCTTGCGTGTCCTTGTCTTTTTTTACATATTTTTGTCCATAAAGTGTGGATGATTTGCTAACCTGTGTCGGTGTTGACTCCTGGTCGGAATCTTCAGGTGTCGAATCCCCATGAAATAAGACTTTGGAATCACGAAGCCCTGATGATGTACTGTCAAAAGATATTTCTTTGACATCTAGACCCTCATCATCATTTGAACCAAATGAAATCTCCACAGCCTCGTCAATATCTGTAGAGTTTGTTCCTGATGAAATGCTTTTTCCATTGCGTCTCTGTAGAATGTGTTTCCGCCAACTTTTACGAGGATTGTTTACCGCCTCACATATATGTTTCTCCTCTATCTCTGCAATTTCTGGAGCAGACCGTCTGACATTCTGTGATGTTGCATCCCTCCCAGATGACTGTGATGATTCTAATTTCATTTTTCCTAATTTGTCTAGGGCTGACACGTCGATGGATTGTGAGCGATCGACAGTTCCCTTTGGGTGTGTGAGTTGCCGGACAAATTCGTCCAGGTCCTCGTTGAGTTGTTTTGTTATTGGTGATGTCGGTTCTTCCAAATGCACACCCTGTCAACAGAGAAACAAGCCAATCAATACACGAACCCAGTATATGCAGTGTAGTATATAACATGGCAAGAAGAGCCCCCAACGCAGTCCCCACCACGTGTCAGCATTCACTGGCAACGCCTAATAAAACCACCACTCACAGCACTCGCTAAATTTCCAGGGAACTGAAATTACAAAACGGCTGACTATTTTTTCTAGACATGGATCCAATTGGCAGACGCATTCATTAAACCAACGCTATTTCATTTCAAAGTTATATTGACATATTGGACCCCATTTTAAATATCAGACAACGTATCTTGTTTCATCAAACACAATAACTTACATAATTTCAAAAGGCATTAACACGATATAATCTAGGAATTTGAAATATCAAAGCTTTTAAAGCTGCCTCTGATATATCAAAGCTGACATATCATCAATATGTCATCTTTACCACCTAACATGTGCCTGGCAGCACGTGAGAACAAAATCAATGGTGACAGTTGTACATTACGATGTCAGCCAATGGTAAAACAGAGGCAGTTGTACATTATAATGTCAGCCAATGGTACAACAGAGGCAGTTGTACAGAGGCAACTCAGCCAATGTTACAACAGAGGCAGTTGTACATTACAATGTCAGCCAATGGTACAACAGAGGCAGTTGTACATTACGATGTCAGCCAATGGTAAAACAGAGGCAGTTGTACATTATAATGTCAGCCAATGGTACAACAGAGGCAATTGTACAGAGGCAACTCAGCCAATGTTACAACAGAGGCAGTTGTACATTACAATGTCAGCCAATGGTACAACAGAGTCAGTTGTACATTACGATGTCAGTNCATGATTTTAATTTGGAATCAATGAAGTAAGTAACAATTAATCAAGTCATGTTTAAATCAAATTAGAATCACACCAAGTTAGTTAGAAATGAACCAAGTCAGTTGGGAATGAACCATGACAGTGTGAATACATTTGATGTCAGTTGAGATAAACCTGCTCTATACGAACAGTGCTCCTCACAACAAGTATCCCACAAAACGGGACCACAGTGTTCCATACTTATATATCCATAACATGTACAGATGTAGTATCCCACAAAACTGGACCACAGTGTTCCATACTTATATATCCATAACATGTACAGATGTAGTATATACCACAAAACTGGACCACAGTGTTCCATACTTATATATACTGTATATATAAGTATGGAACACTGTGGTTCAGTTTTGTGGTATATACTACATCTGTACATGTTATGGATATATAACATGTACAGATGTGTACGACTATTCCTTACAGATCTTAAATGTATGCATTACTTTTACATGAATTAATATGATTGTGTCTCCTTCATAAATCAACCATTAATTACTACAGATATCTTAGTTTACCTTGCACGAAACACACATCCATATGTTGTTCATCCCTGAGAGGTTTGTCATTAGTTTGAATTTCATTTAAAGTCCATGGATTAATGATTTCAAGGAAACAACAGATTTGATCTATTACTAGCTGTTCCTCCCTTTGTGACTGGTGATGATTCTACTTTCTTTGGAATCCAAGCAAATTTTCACACCAAAATACAGAATAAAACCACATGGATCTCATACATCCAGTTCAAAGTTTTTCTGGTGAAAACATCATCAAACCTGACCTGTTTGTGAAAGTGTTGAACCCCTGTACATCCTATAGAAGTAACGGATATCTACATCTCACCGACACAGACCTATATGTGTGGCTGTGGGTGAGTATTTCTTCTGTTATGTCGATTGTTCTCGTTAGAAGAATTTGAAGTTGTGTATAAGTAAACCTGAAGAGCTTCCTGAGGACGCCGGATGCTAATCTGATTTGAGAAAGTAGTGAGGGCTTGGGATAGTTTGTGAATGTACAAGCAGAACTGTGTATGTAAACATAAACCTTGGTTTTCAACCAAAACCACAATATTTTGTTAAGATGGTTTTAAATTTAGTTTAACCAATTTTTTTGAAAATTACATTATTTAACAAAATGTGTATTAAAAGGATTCAAAAACAGGTAACTTGCATATGTAAATTTGTCTCCATGCTCTGGATGTGCTGTTCTATTTTCTGGACTGCCTTTCTTCCTTAGTGAAGAGGTTAAAAGTATAATTGTGCCCAATATTTCTGATCATCATATGTATATTGGACCAACCCTCCTCTCTTCCACACAAGAGGAGAGTTCATCTGCTCATACAACTTTACAAACAATGTTTAAAATGATAGTTTTGTAATAAACAAATGATTACACTTGAAGCTTTGAAGTATGAAAATTGTGCACTAAATATATGTAAAATTTTGGTTTTCTACTAGTAGGCATTTTTTTTATCTTCATTATTAAATTCAAGGTTTAAATGAAATCATAGTGTAATAAAGATGTTTTACAAAAGCTTTCCCCTTAACACAGCATTCATATCTCTCTATATTATATATAATTTCTATGGGGAAAATTTAGAACAAAAGAGCTGTATGGACGTCCAGTCATCTTTTCTTTTTTCAAATAATAAAGGGAAAAAAAATAATAAGAAAAAGGCAAGTTAAAAAACAAATTGTTGCCCCTTTATTCCCTTCTCCCCCATTCTCCATATACACCTACAAACTTGACTTGACTTGCCAGTCAAACGGATCATTATATCACATAATTTAAAACAGCTGATTAAACGAAGTTTCATAGTAAACTGGTGAAAAAGGCACCACTAATAAACTATCAACCTCTGATACTTATAAAACATTATGAAATAACTTCTAACAGTAGTGATTTGCTAGGTGTAAAATGTGCTTACCTTACAGTAGGTCTCACTACCTCACAGCTCTGCTGACTGTTGTTATTGTGAGAAGCACATGGGTAGTGCTACATATAGAACAGCACCAATGCTCTCGATGTCGTCACAGACATAATATTGACAGAACCAACAGGATGACAACCAGAGCGATAGAGAGAACCTATAGGAGCGGCCAATGAAATTCTTGGATAAAGGTCATCATGAATATTTGATAAGGTTTCACTCATTATCACCTGACCTGCATATGCCATATATGGCAGTACGTACCTTACACTAGTAATCGTTTACGCTGGTGAGATCAAATGTTTAGCATTGTCATCGTAGTGTCATTGGGTATAGAACAGATATCAGAGAACAGTAGCTGAGTGAAGCCTGCTGCTGCTGACGTATTTTTTGTTTGTTTGAGTCACAACTAATGCATTGCAAATACACACTCGTCATAAAGCCCAGTTGGACAATGGAATTGAAACATTGAGACCACACCAATTTTAGATTAATCAACAGATCTGTTCCCAATAAATTACTGTAAATTGGGTGAACACTTCACAGGCTTCAATGTTCAAGTCTGGTTAGTTTGACGACGCTTTTCAATCATTGATATTTTTGAATTAATTGATAATAGATATATACTTTGACAAACAGCTGTTTCTTAAGTTGATATTAAAGTCATCTTCTACGCTATACAATGTTAATATTTTTATGATAACTGAATGCTGGATAGCTATGGTGTATAAGTCTCAGACCTGCCACTGCGTTGTTGTTTCCGGTAAAAATGTAACATTTTGTCCCTGGAGAACTGCGCTGCGTCACACCCATAACACAAGATATTAGAGATGTGTACGAGACACACAGGATTACAGGTTCATAACCCCTGACATTATAATCCACTTGTTTACATCATCTTATATGTTTACATTCACGATATCAATGAGAGGTTCTGCAATGAGAGGTTCTACGATGTAGTTTTCATCTTTGTATAACATTAGCCAGCGGTATTTGTTAAACGGTAGATAACAGAAATCAACTAAGATATTATAATGAGGAATACACATTAAATTTCAAATTCATCAAAAGCAAGTCTGACAAAACTGTTATTTTGATGGCTATTTTGATCATCCCATCTATTTCATGGTTTCAAATAAAATTGAATGTGGATTTTGTGTGAAAATTTTTAAATTGATCGAGTCACATTTTTCATTGACTGCCTACATGCAAGTTCTTTTTTTCTTTTTTTGCAAAATGTGACAGTAGCAAATCCCCAATGGAGTGTCTTGATATTTCCTTCACTTTGTATATATTCTATAAATCCTGAAAATTCTGGACTACCAATCAAAATCTGTAATCTTCTATAAATCCTGCTAATTCCGGACTACCAATCTAAATCTGTAATCTTCTATAAATCCTGAAAATTCCGGTCTACCAATCTAAATCTGTAATCTTCTATAAATCCTGATAATTCCGGACTACCAATCTAAATCTGTAATCTCCTATAAATCCTGAAAATTCCGGTCTACCAATCTAAATCTGTGCTCTTTTATAAATCCTGATAATTCTGGACTACCAATCTAATCTGTAATCTTCTATAAATCCCGATAATTCTGGACTACCAATCTAATCTGTAATCTTCTATAAATCCCGATAATTCTGGACTACCAATCTAATCTGTAATCTTCTATAAATCCTGAAAATTCCGGTCTCCCAATCTAAATCTGTAATCTTCTATAAATCCTGATAGTTCCGGACTACCAATCTAAATCTGTAATCTTCTATAAATCCTGATAATTCTGGACTACCAATCGAAATCTGTACTCTTCTATAAATCCTAGATAGTCCAGGGCTACAAATTTAAATTTGTAATCTTCTATAAATCCTGATAATTCCGGTCTACCAATCTAAATCTGTGCTCTTTTATAAATCCTGATAATTCTGGAATATACCAATCGAAATCTGTAATCTTCTATAAATCCTGATAATTCCGGACTACCAATCGAAATTTGTAATCTTCTATAAATCCTAGATAGTCCAGGACTACCGATCTAAATCTGTACTCTTCTATAAATCCTAGATGGTCCAGGACTACCAATCTAAATATGTAATCTTCTATAAATCCTAGATAGTCCAGGACTATAAATTCAAATCTGTAATCTTCTATAAATCCTAGATAGTCCAGGACTACCAATCTAAATCTAATCTTCTATAAATCCTAGATA